ACATGGTCTACAGCTTGAAGCACTGACAGTGCTTTCCACTTAAGCTGCTGGCACGTGCTGCTGTACATCAACATGTCCATCCCCTTGACCGTTCATTGCTCCCTACTGAAACTAGCTGCTTCCCCTGCCTTATGTGTTAAAAACCAATGTCAGGCAGAGAGGTTCGCAGCCTCTGACTGAGCAATGAAGATATTGTGCACTAAAAAGTGAGACACACAAGTGAGAGGAGAAAGATTTAAAAGGGACCTGAGGAGCAACCTTTTCACTCTGAGGGTGGTTCATATTTGGAATGAAGTGCCAGAGGAAGCAGCAGCTGCAGGTATTTAACATTTAAAAGACATTTGGATAGTTATAATGACTGACAAAGGTTTAGATGGATATGGGCCAAACGCTTTAGTTTGGGAAAATTGGTCAGCATGGACAAGTTGGACCAAAGGGCCTGCTTTTGTACTGTATGACTGTATAAGTTAGCATAAAGGAACCTTATTAAAAGCCTTATGAAAATTTATTATACCATACCCACTCGTTTTCATTTATCTAGTCTATTAGATATACCCTCAAAAAACTACAGTATATTTGTTAAAGGGTCTAGACCGGAAACGTCAGCTTTCCTGCTCCTCTGATGCTGCTTGGCCTGCTGTGTTCATCCAGCTCTACACCTTGTTATCTCAGTATATTTGTATATTTGGCTTTCACAACCCATGTGGCTTTGACCAATCCCATTGATGCTTTCCAAATGTTCTGTTATAATTTATAATAGACTCTAGCATTTCCCCCACTACCAATATTAGGTTAACTGAACTGTAATTCTTTTACTGCTATCCCCTGAGAAGCTCCCTCGCAAATCCCACTACCTCCTCGACTCCCAAATTCAGTAATGTGTATAATTCTGCTTCACACTGCTCCGTCGCAGATCCCAATACTTCCCCAGCTGACAAGGTGCATGACGTAGGTCTCGAGTCTTTCCATGATTTATATAATCTTGCTCCACGCTGCTTCTCCACCCATCCCATTGTTTCTCCAACTCCTCAAGTAAATAATCTCCCCAACTCTTCAGGTAATCTTCCAAAATTCAACACTTCAACCAGTGAACTTAAAGTTTTACAGTGATGCCACTCTTTGTTTTCTAACAAGAACTGACTACAGGACACTCTTCCCAGGCTGTTTCATCACAATGCTGACTGCAGGACACCCTTCCCAGGCTGTTTCATTGTGATGCTGACGGCAGGACATGCTTCCCAGACTGTTTCACCATGATGTTCACTGCAGGACCCTCTCCCCAGACTGCTTCACCATGGTACTGACTGAAGGACACTTGCCCCAACTGCTTTACTGATGTTCACTGCAAGACACTGTTCTCTGACTGCTTCACCATGATGCTGATTGCACGACACCCTTCCCAGACTGCTTCACTGTGATGCTGACTGCAGGATAGTCTTCCCACATGGTTGTATGGAACATGCAGTGACACTGTGGTGAAGATAGAGTTGGGTGATTGTAGGGACAACAAGTAGAAAGCTGCAGCCTCCAGGTACATGCTCTGAATTTGCATCATCTATTTTTTTGGGATGAAGAGGTGAATTCAAAGTAGTATATAAATGAGCTGGACTATTAATGAGATGTAAATTTTTGGAAATAAGATAGACAGGATTCCAGTTAAGTGTGCACAGTATACAAAACAAGGTAATTGAGCTTGTAGCACAACTTGAAATTGGCAGGTACATGCAGGTTAACATGCAGGTTCAATCGGCAGTTAAGAAGGCAATGCAATGTTAGCATTCATTTCAAGAGGGCTAGCATACAACAGCAGAGATGTACAGCTGAGGCTGTATAAGGCTCTGGTCAGACTGCCTTTGGACTATTGTGAGCTGTTTTGGGCCCCGTATCTAAGAAAGGATGTGCTGGCCTTGGAGGAGGAAGACAAGGATTATCCTGGGAATGAAGGGCATATCATATAAGGATTGTTGAGGACTCTGGGTACTTGGAGTTTAGAAGGACGCGGGTGGATTTCATTGAAATTTACATAATACTGAGAGGCCTGGATAGAGTGGCACGGAGAAAATGTTTCCACAAGGAGGGACTAGGACATGAGGGCACAGCCTCGGAGTGAAGGGTTGACCTTTTAGAACTGAGATGAGGAGGGATTTCTTCAACCAGAGGGTGATGTATTTTTGGAACTCATTGCCACAGAAGACTGTGGAGGCCAAGTCATTCAGAGTAGTTAAGACAGAGAAAATAGGTTCTCCATTAGTAGGGGGATCAAAGGTTATGGAAGAGGGCTGGAGAATGAGGTTAAGGAATATATCAGGCATGAGCGAATGGCAGAAACAGACTGTATGGACAAAGTGGCCTAATTCTGTTCCGATATGTTAAGGTCTTATATGTAAAAGAAATTGTTACCAAGATCACCATGCGCAAATTTGCATTACCCATCTATATAAAATGTTGTCCCATTGGTCCCCAATTTTGAACTGAAAGTTGGTGAAACATTTTAGGTAAAGACTATATGTCACTAGTTGGTCATTTTCTTTCGGTCTCATTGTAGGTATCTAAAGCCAAAACTAAGTCTAAGAAGAAAAAGAAAAAGTCTAAAGGTAAAAAGGTAAGCTGCCTTATCGATTGGCTGAGTTAAAGAAGTGTTTTCTGAACTAAAAATCAAAATGGCAATTCAGAGTAGACATTTAAATGATGTATTTATGTATTTATATATTTCATTGACATTCAAAATACAGGTCAGGATGCAGCATTCAAAAACAAATAATGTGCCTTCTTAAATAACTTTTTCACATGAGTAACAAAAACAAAGTTGCTGGAAAAACTCAGCAGGTCTGGCAGCATCTGTGAAGGAAAAAACAGAGTTAGTGTTTCGGGTCTGGTGACCCTTCCTCAGAAGGGTGACACTGCCCTGTACCTGTTGAAGCCCTTTCATGAGCAGGTCACCTATTTCCTGTACAATTCCTGGGAGAATGCAGCAACACATGCTGATAAATGTACCAAAATGATTCCAAAAATAAATCATATGTTAATCATTGAATCCATACAGTGTGGAAACAGACCATTCAGCCCAACAAGTCTACACCAACTCACCTCCCCCGCCCACCCCTGCCCAGTCCTGTAACCCTGAATTTCCCATGGCTAATCCATCTAACCTACACATTCCTGGACACTACAGGCAATTTAGCCTGGTCAATCCCCCTAACCTGCACATCTTTGGACTGTGGGAGGAAACCAGAGCAACTACTGGAAACCCACACATTAATGGGGAGAATGTGCAAACTCCACGCAGGCATTTTCCCAAGGTTAGAATTGAACCTGAGTCCCTGACACTGTAAGGCAACAGTGCTAACCACTGAGCCACCATGCCACCCAGACACGTTTCAACAGAGACAGTTTCATAAAATTTGACTAACATGCAATCAGGGAACCTTATCCATGAAATGACATCAATGAGGTCCCACTTTGTTTCTTTACATTTGCAATCCTGGTGTCATCTCAATGATTTAAATTAAGTGACACTAGCATATGTTGTGAAGTTGGGCAGAGTATTTGTGGATTGGATGGCAGGACGTTAGAATCTGGTGTCTGTAAAATGATCGGGGAAGAGTGTGTGGTCCCTTTAAAGATGATGTGTTTTTCTCGGCTTGGGAGATTAAAAAAAGATGTCTGTGGGTTTGCAGGTACACAGAGCACTTGAATTGAAACATTTGTGTCAAAAGGCTATACTGTTAGCTGGCAAAGCAATAATTTTACCAAGACAACAGGTTTTAAAATTTAGCCAATTAATTTAATCCAGGCCCTTAGCTACCAAAAACCAATTAAATTTATATCTGATGGTTTCGGCAAGATAGGACCAATCCTATAGTAAAAAATTGATACGTCATCAAGGGTATAAAAGATGAGGTCATTTGGAAAATTGGGTGAGAGCCAACTGTCATCTGCCATGAGAACATCATGCTGTAAAAGAAAGAATCTCTGGCTGTCACAGAATTCTCTAAGCCTTAGAATAAGCTCCATCTAAAATAAAGGTATGGCGGCACTCTTAGCTAATATTCTTGATGCAAAAATTCAAAGGGCAAGGCGTTCTTGACAGAAGAATTTGTTGGAGAAGACACAGAACATTCTGGAAGATATAACCTGACTGTAGTTTTGAGGGACTAGGTTCTAATTTCTTTTATTTTCGCTTTTATAGTGGAACTTGTATTTATTGGAACAGCATACCATTAGAATCTTGTTTTATTCAGCAATAGTTGGTTGTTCAGGGGGAATTGTTTGGTTTGTTAATAGTTCAGGTAATTTGCTCACTGTTAGCGTTAGATAAATTAATTGTTACTTGTTGATTACAGAGTGACCATCAGGAGTTCATTTCATTTAACCACTCCTTTATAACAGATTGAGGGTGAGAGGCAGGTTAAACCACTTTTCACACTTCTTTTAACAGATTATAGGGTGAGGCGAGGTGAGCCACTCTGGGTGTCTCGGTTTTAGTTATCAGAGGGGGATCGCCCTCTGCTTTATGACGCATAGTATTATTTCAGCATGTTTGAGTGTAGAACAGTACACTTGTGTGCACCCATATCAGTAGTGAATTCCACATGGTGTTGGTAGCAGTCTGTGATGCAGCTTGGGGAAAGCCAGGTGAGCCTGTGTAGCTTCAGTGCTGGGCAAAACAGTTTGGTCACAAGTGTTTCTGTAGAGTCTTAACTTGACAATGTGGTTTGCGGTCGGAAGCATCAAGCAGTTGGGAAAAGATAAACAAGGACTATGTACAGCAATTCTGGAGAGTTGATAATGATTGAATAACAGGCCATCTTAATGGCAATTGTGGAGACAAAAGCTCTGTAATGAAACATATGAACGCATCATCACTTAAATCTAGTCTGCTCTAATCTATTTGCTACAACATACAGACAAAGAAGTATGTGGGTCTGCTGTTTTTACCTGATGTCAACACAAGACTTCGTTCAAAATGTGGAATCATCACTTTGATGGAAAGTAAAGCAAAGATGTGTGAATGAAATTTTCTGAAACTAAGTTCTTTCTTTTCAGGCTCAAACAAATGAAGATAGTCACAATATAACTCAGGATATAACATCTCATCAACAGTAAGGTTCCTTTTTAATAGACTTAATATTTTCAAATGGGGACTTAATTGGCAACTTAATTTATTTTCAGTTTCTTCCCTTCATGTATAAGCGTATTTATCTGCATTTAGATTAAACTCAATTATATTTTGGCCAGATTTTGACATAATTACTTTGCTTCTATATCCTGTTCATATCAATGTTGTGTCTGTATGAGACAGTTTATGCTGATGCATCACAAGATGTGGAACTAGTGAGCTTCTGGCTAACTTTCCTTCCAGGGGACAAATAGTCACCCTCTGTAAAATGCAGTCTAATGATTCTATTGTATTATTGACATGCAGTTAAAATATTGTAAAATTTGGACTACATATTCTTTAAATTCATTTGAGGAATTTGAGCATAGCTGGTAAGGTTAGCATTGGTTGCCTATACCTTATTATTCCTGAGAAGTTGGATGATAATTTTTCAGCAGCACCCCATGCAGAATACCTGCCCTGCACTTGAATATGATGATCTAAGGACTATCAGGTATTGGGCTTCTGACCCCATTCACATAGGAAAGGAGCAGGCAGGATGGGGAGTAGTGGAAGTAGAGATCTATAGTTCAGGGATGGGCTCAGGGAAGCAAATAGTATTGGCTGGCAATGACCAACATAATCAGGATTGGAGCTTGGAATCATGTTGACAGATCACATGGTCTGTCTGCCAGCTCCACGTTAAAGGTAAGTAACTTACTCTTTTGGCTGTATCTGTCTGTAAGGAATCTTTAGGGCAAGTCACTGTTGCAACAGGGTCTCAGATTAAATTAGGTCCTTAATTTGTATTTGAAAAGGACCAAACTCCTGCTTCAACTGTGGATAAAGGATACATCTTGTTTCCCTTCTCTATCACTTTCAGCACATTTCCAGTCTGAAATAAAAAGAGAAATTTCTGGAGGAACTCAGCAGGCCTGGAAGCTTCTTTGGAGAGAAAGAAGAGTTTACATTTCAAGCCCCTAAGAATCACTGGAGCTGAAACATTAAATCTGCTTGCTCTCCTCAGAGGCTGCCAAGCCTGCTGAGTTTCTCCAGCAATTTCTGTCTTTATTTCAGAATTCCAGAATCCGCAGTTGCTTGCTTTCTTCCAGTCAGAAATATGTTTATGTCTGCTGGTGCCTTACCATTTGGAAGACACAGATCAAACCCTGGGAAACAGACCAGTATTGCGATCCCTATTTTCAAATGAGTGTTGATTATTGAAGAGAGTTCACAGGTATGAACTTATTTGAATGATTCCAGCATTTAAAGTTTGAATATAGTGTTAAGATCTGGTTTTAAAATGTTAGGTACTGCATGAAGCTCTCAAGTTCCTTTATTTCTGGAAATCTTTAACTTTAAACCACTATCATATCTTAAGCTTGATAGATGTAGGAGTAGGCAGGGAATAGAGAGATACGGTCTTTGTAAACGCAAAAGGTTTCTAGTTCAGAAAAGTGTAATCGGCGCAGTCTTCGTGGGTCAAAGAGCCTGTTTGTGTACTGTAGTGTTCTTTATTCTTTGTTATACCTGGAATGAAAGCCCAATAGTCTATTTTTCACTCTGTGGTTCAGTACCCTTGGGATAAGCGCATATTGATTTTGTGCAAAGAAATCAACAAAGTTGTGGGAAGTAATGGGAGATAAAGAGAACCTTTGTGAATAAAAGTGAGAATTTAATTGTCCAAGAAAAGTGCAAGTCTTTAGCTGTAATTTATCCTCATTTTTAATTAACAGTAAACTTGTTAGGAAAACTTAACTGAGTTTTATTTGTAACAGTGAGACCCTATCAATTCCGGTGCAAGAGAACCAGGTGGATGATAGCAGAAGCAAGAAGCAAGTGGCAAATTCCAGCTGTGATGTGTCTACATTTAGTGCCAGCGTAGCTACCTCATCACAACTTGCATTTGGTACTATGCCTAACAACAGTAATGCTGGTCCCTTTCTAACAAGTCATGACATCAACAAACTTGATGACTTACCTGACCAAACTTACCAAAGTGACGGAGAGCTGGATGACATTGAAAATCCTGTCATTGATGAGGAGTCCACCGGTTCCTCAGTATGTACCTCATCAGTAAGTTTGAATCTGTGATCTTTTGCGAATATATTTTTAAAAATTTATTACATAGGTCTGATATTTGGTAACGGTGAACTTAAATAGGAGTTTGACACTCAAACATCAAAATTGCTTTGGATCAAGGTGAATGTTTTCTGGCATAGAAGAATGCATGTTGACTTTGTTATTATAATTAAGCAAATAGTGTTTGGGACAGTTTTAACTTAGTTTGGCTTTGATTTAGTCTGCATTCACCTTCCAATCTTTATACCTATCACTAATAGAAGAACATAAGAAGTAGGAACAGGAATGGACTGCACAGCTTATCAACGTTCCTCTCCCACTCAGTATGATCATGGCTGATTTTTGGCTTCAACTCCACTTCTCACCTGCTCTCCAGATCCTTTGATTCTCAGAGAAGCCAAAATCTGTTTCTCCCAGCCTTGCATATAGTTAAAATAAAGCATTCACACCTGAAACAGCTGCAGGAATGCCAATGCCGGCTACATGCTTCCTCTAAGTGAGAGACAATTCATTTCAGGGGAAGAAATTTGGTGCCGGAACCATGGAAATGGCCCTGTTTGGGTCCGAGGCGAGGTTTAACAGGTCAGGTCCTGTGACTACAAACTTCGTTTCGATGAGGCAGTCCTAAACAAACGTGGATCACCTGAAATCTGCTCCCTTGCAAATGGAGCAGGAGCAAAACACACTTGGCCCCTCAGAACAGCCAGAAGTCCCATCAGAAACTGTAGGTTCTCCCCCTCCACCTGGTGTTGAGGAAACCTCAGAGTCCGACACCATTTGTTCCAGAAGAAGAGGACGAAACTCCCGAGATGCTTTGGGCACAAGAGACGGGTTACGGTCCAGTACACGCCATCCATGTCAGAGGAACCAGACCTGGGGCGAAAATGTTGCAGGGAAAGACCAGGCCTACATCCCAGACTTGGAGTGGTGGGGGGAAGAACCAGGTAGATCTTTTTGACTGAACCTTGACTGGGGCTGTTAACCTGGGCTAATCAGGAAACCCTGGCTGACCAATATCACCAGGGGATTCAGAATCTCCTCAGTTCAGGGACTGACTCTGAGCTGGATGGCCACAGCCAGTGTACTATGCACACGTGAATAAAGAGTGACTTGATGATGGGATACCAGCCTCAGTGCAGTTATTTCAATGACCGTCTCAAGTAGAGAATTCCAAAGATGCATAATCCTCTGTGTGAAGAAATTTCTCCTCATCTCAGTCCTAGATGATAAGCCGTACATCCTGACACTGTCACTGTATTTTAAATTCCCCTGCCAGAGGAATTGTCCTCTCGGTGTCTGTCCTGTCAAGTTCCTTCATAAATCTCACATGTTTCATTGAAATCACCCTTCATAGAAGAATCCTGTCATCCCAGGAACTAATCTAGTAAACCTTACTGTACTGCCTTCCGTGTAAGCATGTCTCTACATACTAAGACTGAAACTGCACTCAGTTTCAGATGTAGTCTCACCAAACCCTTTGTACATTGTAGCAATACTTCCTTCTGTACAGCTTCCTCTTGCAATTGAGGCCCAGGTGTGATTTCTTTCCGTAATGCTTGTTGTACATTCATGCTAACTTTGTGTCCCTCACATGAGCAAATCCAAGTGTTTCTGAACATCAACATTTGCAAGTTCCACATGCTTTAAAAAAATTCTGCTTTTCTAACCTTATGAGCAAATGAGTAGTCTCACACTTGCACAGATTTATTCCCTTGCCACCTATTTCTTACTCACTAAAGCTGTTTACACTTCTTTGGAGACTGTCTGTGTAATCCTCATAGTCTATATTTCTACTGAGCTTTGTATGGTCAGCAAATCTAGATGCATTATTCTCTTTCTCTTTGTCCAAGTCGTTGATATATACTATAAATAGCTGAGGTTCCAGCACCAATCCTTGCAGCAATCCATTGGACACCATCTGCCAACTTGAAAATGTTCCAGTGATCATTACAATTTGCTTCCAGCCTTTTAGCAAATTTTTTTTCCATGCTAATATATATTAGCCATAACTGCAGAAGCATATATCTTTCCACATCTTAGCAACACCTTCTTGAATCCTTTTGGTAATCCAAGTATACTGTTATGATCATGGCTGATGTTCATTACTGTACTAACAGATCCCAGACTGAAATTTGGCTTGATAGATTTTTTTTGCTTTTAACAGGTGGCCTTTCACTGAACCATAAGCATGCAATACTGCAGATTCAAGTTTAGCAATAAACCAGAAGTTTATGACTCAAAAGAAATTAAGATAAAATAGAATAAAGCAAACTAATTACATAAAATAGAAATTTTAAGATTTTAAAAACATAGTAAAATAGAAACCTATTAATTCCAAAAATACTTCTATACTGTACTCACACCAGACTGATTCGTTACGCTTTCAAATCTATGGGGATTAATTTAACTGTGACTTCACTTATCTGTCTTGAATCTAATAGCCTATTTAAAGATCCTTAATACAATTGAGCCTGTACTTTCTCAGCTTCAAATAACCCTTTCAGAGTTTCAACCAAAAATGTCTGGACTGAAACTTCTAAAATAAACTCCTTTCACTGAGGTAATCTCCTTCCTTAAGTCCTAAACTACTTCACTTTCTCAGGAGCAACTGTTTTACATATCTAGCTTCAGCCAAAATTTCTGCAAACTTGCCATATTGAAACCCCAAAATTTTTTTTTGGCCTAGCTATGAGCGTTTCCACTAAGCCTGCAAAAATTCCAGAATCTTCTATTGAAAAGTCTAATAAACTACACTGCTTACTTTATTCTCCTGTTAATTCTCCCAATGTAAGCAAAACCTCTTTATTCTCCACAAAATCTCTCACTAATGCTATGCTTTAAAAGAAATCACCATGGCTTACTTACAAATTAATCACGAAACCCCTTTAGACGCACAGAAACCTATATGCCACTAATTCAAAATTCAAAAATCCAAAATAACTGGCATTAAAATATATATAAATCATACACCTTACATCACTTTATTTGAATATACTTTATTTGACCTAGCCGTTCCATTCTCAATAAATTTGTCAAATACGATTTCCTTATTGTGAAACCAAATTGATTTTGTCTGATGATACTATGATTTCTCAGTGCATTGTTAAGACTTCCTTAATAATTGATCCCAAAACTTTGCTGGGAGACTCCACAGAAAATTTTTTTGTCAGTAGGAAAGGTGTAGGTATAGCGACAGGTTCAAATGTTCCAATGCTGGCTTAGTCTTGAGAGAAGTTAAGCTATTTGATTTTCTCTTATAGGATTTGTATTCCTCCTCATCAGTAGGTGATAGAACCATTAATGTACAGGAGCAGCTATGGCAAAATGTGAAAGAGAAATCGGAAATGAGACAAAAGTTACTTGCGTTACAAAATGAAAACCAAGTAAGTTTTTTTTAAACAAAAGGTTATTAATCTGTAATTCATCCAATCCTGCCAACGTGTGACTATAATTTCTTAAAACAGACTACATGCATCTGTGTTGGAAAATTACCATGAACAGATAATTTTGCAGGTGTAACTGCCTGCAGTTGATAGGGAGGAATTTGTGACTTAAACAAAATATTTTATTTCAGCATCTGTTTTAATTGTCTCAATTTTTTACAGTCTCTCGTAAGGAATTTAGAGCAATTAATAACCAAGCTCAAGGAAGAGCAGCAACAAAGGATCCGTGCAGAGAACCAGTATTCAAGACTCCAAGAACATTATCAGCTAGAAATATCTAGGTGTGTCTGAATATAGAATATGCACAGTGTAGATCTCAAAATCAAGATATACAATACATTAGCTTGAATTATGTGGTCAGTGATGAACTTATGCTGCTTCCACTGACCTCCAAGAAAGCTGTCCAGATGAGTTCTAATGAGCTCTGTAATGTGGATTTCATGTTTCCCAATATTAATTTTATTCTGGTGCCCACTAAAGGGCATCTTTGGAAACTAGTGACTGCAATAATATCAAGCATGTAAGCAGGCAATCACTTTGAAAATTTTTTTGCAGACAGGAAATGAGCAGATGTTATCATTCACTGTATATAATTTTGTAGGAACTGAAATAATGATTAGAACATATGCGTAGAATGAAGTTAAATTTGAAATGTCATAATTTTTTTTCAAAACTTCATTAAAAAATAATGAAATGGAGAAATTTGCATTCCACAAATATAATACTTTTTTTCAGGTCCAAAAGGATTCTTAAATAATTTTGATTTTGAAAGACACTTACAAACCCTCTTTTAAACCCCATTTAATGAACCTTAGCATTTTCAAGGGATTTTACAGTGATATTAATGGAGTAAAAAATGGAACTTTTTGTCATGTCAGCGATGTTGAATTGATTTCTATCCACAAGAATGTCAACGTTCCATTCAGTGGAGGAGTGAGGAATTACTTACAGCAGTTTCTGAAGCTCTGCATTGCCTGTGTGCAGACTTAAGTTACTGTCAGGTTTATAGAGTAATGACAGCGTATGCTAACAGATTTGGTGTGAATACAATGCAAAAACCTGTGTTAGTCCCTGTTGCAGTATCTGATTCTTGTTTCTGTCTTGCAAATGGTAAAGGAAATGCAACGAAACTGAAATACCTGCCTTCAAAGGAAATGTTATATTCAGGGAGTTTTGGGAGGTGTAGGGTCTTTCAGAGGCAAATCGAAGGAAACTAGCATGCAGGTACAGCTCAAAGTAGTATGTTCATCTTTATTGCACATGTGCTGGTTCACAAAAGAAATAGAGTCTTGCTGCAATTACATATGCTTCTGGGAGACCACATCTGCACATATTTCTCCAAGCTCAGTCTTCTTTTCTAAGGAAGAATATAGCTGTCTCAGAAGGGCTACAACAGGCTTAACTAGATTGATTCTTGGGATGGGAGAGATGTCCTGAAATTTCAGAACAAATAGAATTGTCATAAATAAAATCATATGTCTAGATTTCTGATCCCCAGAAAGCAGTGGAAACAGGGCTGTTGACTATTTTTAAGCAGAGGGAGATGAGATTTGGATGAACAAGAAAGTCAAAGGGTATCAGGAGTGGGTCGGGAAGTGGAGTTTACACCAGAACTGGGTCAGCCATGATCATACCAACTGGTGAAATGGGTATGAGGGGCCAAATATTCCTGCTCCTAATTTGCATGTTTGTATGTAGGTAGTTGAATTGAAGTAGAAATTCAACCATTGTGGATAAAAAGGTGAAGTAGTCTCAATGGGCCTTACTGTCTACATCTTCTCCTTTCTCTTAAGTTATGGTAACATTTTTACTTGTGTCTTTTAGAGTGAACCAGCAACTTCAGAGCAAGGATGAAGAAATAAAGAAAATTACAACGCAGTTTGCAAATGAACGGTAAGAGCTCTGCCAAAGAAGCAAACGTCAATTAGTGCTTAAGCAAAATGGTTCCATAGCCTGTAAAAATGAATGATAAGTCTAAAGTAAATGCAGCATTTGTGGGTTCTCAGACAAGAAAATGCACTATAATCAATTGCTGTAAATACGTCAGTTTCACTTTCAATATATATTTGAAAAACAATATATATTTGGAAAACGAATGGGGATTTCCAGTTCAGCCTGAGCCCATGTCAAAAAAGTATTCTCTGCTATCTCAGCGACATTGGATCATACAACAGGGAAATGTGATTTACCTGGACTTGCCCTAGAATCAGTTCCCTAACTGATTGCTGGAAAAGTACGGAATGCTACGGAAACAATGAAAGAACTTGATATTAACCATATAGTGTAAAGCGATGCAGAGAAGAGAAAAAAGAAAGCAGTGACAGAGTAAGCAAATTCAAAAAGCAGCTTCAAAATGAGTATAAAAGCAGTCACCAAGGAGAAAGAAAGAAAATGTGTTAGAACAGAAAAAGGGGCAGCAACATAACGTTAAGCAGGAAATTGTATAGATATTGTCATCTTAACCGCAAAGAAATCAGATTCTTTATACCCGAATGATGGGATACCATATTTCCTGGCTCGTTTCTTCAACTTTTTGCTGATGTAAGACAGATATATAATCTGAATGAAATATGGGTCAGCAATTGTGATTGACGTTAGCAGTAAATACACAGATAAAAACAGGCATGTGGGGCTAAATTTTCAGGGATGTGTAGATTAGATGGGTTATAGGGGGATGGGTCTGGGTGGGATGCTCTGTGGGTTGGTGTGGATTTGTTGGGCCGAAGGGCCTGTTTCCACACTGTAGGGATTCTATGATTCTGTGAAATTTTCTCAGAAGTCAACTAAGTGCCAATTTTGCTGAGTTCCATGAAGAGATTCAGTCTCTGAGCCCGAGTAAGGTTTCTCACTCTATTTTCTGACACTTGCCTCGACATTTAAACAGCACTCTTCTATGATGCCCCACTCATCATATCTTCCCTCTCACTGGAGGTTACCACTGAATATGAATGATTTTTATAGTCGTGTGTATTTTACAGTAAGAATACAATGAAATACAGTAAAAAGCTTTCATTTGTCACCATGATTTGGCGCCATTCTGAATAATTTAAGAATAAGTGGTGGGGGGGAGAGAAAAGAAAAATAAAGCCTAAATAGAGTCCATCAGTCCTGAGCTAGCTTATCACCATCAATGACACCTGAGCCACCGTCCTTCCTTCACTGCCAGGACCTCCTGGGATTTCCTGCGCCAGTCCATAATTAAAACGCAGTTGCAAGCCAGGCCAAGCGCTGTCACTTGGAGCTACCCTGCCCAGTTCCTTCATCTGAAGGTTGGCCCCCCCGATGGTGACTGGATACAAGTTGACATCCTGATTTTCCAGCAGGGACCTAGAGATCCTGGCGGACTGGGTGCTACAGAGGAGAGCCATTCTTTTCATCAGAACCAGCAAAGGACACTGTGCTGTCAGATCATGCTCCCTGTCAGTTTTCACCTTTAAATGATAATTTACTACAGTCATGTGTGAACTTACTGGGCTGAGCTGTGAAGCTATCATCACAATGTAGGTCCATAGAATAAAATCCCATCTGTTATTTTCTGAATTGCTTAAATTATTGTTATCCTTCATAGTAGATATTTCCTCCTGTTCACGACACCAAACAGACTGGTAATTCTCACACCAACTAGAGCTGCTATTTGGGAAAAATGCTCAAAATCAAATTCAAACATCTTAAAAAGTTTGTTTTTTATAGAATCCCCACAGTGTGGAAACAGGCCATTCAGCCCAACAAGGCCACACCAACCCTCCGAAGAGCACCCCACCAGACCCATTCCCCCTCCCCTATCTCTGTAACCCAGTATTTCCCATTGCTAATCCACCTAGCCTACTCATCCCTGAACACTATGGGTAATTTAGCGTGGCCAATCTACCTAGCCTGCACATCTTTGGACTGTGGGAGGAAACCGGAGCACCCAGGGGAAACCCACTCAGACATGGGAAGAATGTGCAAATTCCACACAGATAGAAGCCCGAGGGTGGAATCAAACTCAGGTCCCTGGTGTTGTGAGGTAGCAGTGCTAACCACTGAGCCACTGTGTCACCCGTATTTTTCTTTTCTTTAAATGGACAACCTCGCACTTATCCATATGAGTGCATGGTTGTCCATTTAAAGAAAATAAAAGGAAAGAAAAATTCGGGTGACATTATCATTCTATGTTCTAAAAATAAATATTTTAAAAGCAGTCATAATTAATATCCTGGAATAATATCAAAGGTGAAATCTCATCTCTGGTTTTAGGTGGCTATTAGAAACTTTTTGGGTTTAACTTGTATAGAGTTGAAATATCAAGTGAACATTTTTCTCTAAAATATTGTCAGCTCCTGGATATCAGTTCAAATGGTAATATTTAAGAGCTCTCTTCGTCCTCCTGTGCAGGACATTGTGGAATAAAGACAAAGCAAAACTAGAAGATGTAAGCGCAAAAAACATTGCAAAGCTGGTAGAGGCAACAAAGCGAGCAGTAGCTGCTGAGGTAAGTGTTATTGATAATCTTAGCATAGTTTTGAAATTGCTCTAATTATTGGATAATTTGTGAATTTTGAATGTGGTTTAATGCTATTGGAATATATTTTAATTTCTGCAAGCTGTTTGATATTTTCAGCCATTAGAACTATTTGCTTAATATTTGAATCTGATTTTGTTGAGCAGCAACCATATAGGCTTATTTATTTTTTAACGTAAGAATGAAAATATATATCAGGAAGAAAATGGTGTCTAGATTATTAGCATCTACTTTGCAAATTCCTAAACCATAATTTTATGACATTGTAAGCATGTTTTACAATACATTAAGTGAGGTCAGAGCTCAAAAAATTGTTTAAAATGGTTCAATAATTTAAGAATCAATCATACAAGTGAAGTGATTTCCACCAAAAAAGTACTGGGGGATTCTAAAGTCCTTCAACCTCAGGATAATCTGAGTTAGAATGATTGATGCTGCACTTAGGTGAATGCAATATGGTGTCAGACTGCGATACTGTTGTGATGTAGAGGCATGTAACATCAGTATTAGGTGATCAAACTGCCACATAAACGATCAAGCCAGATTGCACATTCAAAAATTCCATTCCATAAAAGTTACAAATCTCAGCTAGTTCCTGCACTGGATTTGATAGAGTTATTTGGAGTCTTTTCAAATGCACAAAGGTATTTCAGAATTGCAGGTTTTCTATCATTGCATCCGTTCAGGAAATGATCTTAAGCTCTATCAACAGTTTCAATTATATAATCATCAGTATTGACTCCCAGCTAGAGTTGTTACATAGCAACAGGAATAATGACTTCTGTAGGGGAGGCGATGGCCTGGTGGTATTATCGCTGGACTGTTAATCCAGAGACCCAGGGTTTGAATCCAGCCACAGCAGATGGTGGAATTCGAATTCAATAAATATCTGGAATTAAGAGTCTAATAATGACCATGAATCCATTGCTGATTGTTGGAAAAACCCATCTGGTTCACTAATGCCCTTTAGGGAAGGAAACTGCCATCCTTACCTGGTCTGGCCTACATGTGACTCCACACCCAAGGCAATGTGGGGTTGACTATCAACTGACCTCTGGGCAATTAGGCCAGCAGCGCCCTCATCCCGTGAATGAATTTAAAAAAAATAGAGAGTTGAATTACTTCTATCCTTATCTGGTCTGGCCTACATCTGGCTCTAGACCCACAACAATGTGGTTGACTCTTAACTGCCCTGAGGGCAGTTAGGGATGGGCAATAAATGTTGCCTAGCCAGCAATGCCCTCATCCTGTGAATAAATTAAAAAAAAAGCCTTGGGGGGTACTGAAGCCAATTCTCTCATTCCAATTTTATTCCAGATGAGATCCCCAAAGCGACAAAATATTATTGCTACCTTTGTGCTCCTATTGAATCATCTGATCAATGCAGGTCAGAGTTCTGTTGGATCTGGTGGCAGCTACTTAACAACAAAACTAAAATTTATGAGAAGTAATTCAATTCTCTCAAGTCTCTCTACCTTGCTGGTTGCCTTTAACTTAACATGCATAATGTTATACTCATTGCTTTCCTCCTTTGATATGGACTTCCTGTTGTGCCTCCATGTACTATTGTTTTTTTATTCATTCACGGGATGAGGGCGTTGCTGGCCTAATTGCCCAGAGGTCAGTTGATAGTCAACTCCACATTGCCGTGGGTGTGGAGTCACATGTAGGCCAGACCAGGTAAGGATGGCAGTTTCCTTCCCTAGAGGACATTAGTGAACATGATGGGTTTTTCCAACAATCGACAATGCATTCATTAGATTCTTAATTCCAGATGTTTTATTTAATTTTTAAAAATTCCACTATCTGCCGCAGCAGGATTTGAACCCAGGTCTCCAGAATGTTATCTGGGTTTCTGGATTGACAGTCTAGCAATAATGCCACTAGGCCTTCACCTCCCCTCATGTGTGTTGAATATCTGCTGTAATATTATGAAAAAGAAACCACAAGCTTTAACCAATGCATTGCCATATCCCCTGTAGATTCCATTTAATGGTGAAAACATTAAATCTCATATTTGACTTGAACATAAATCATTTGGATTTTGTTATATAGTAAATGTACAAGCCTCTTGAATCAATTTAAATGTTTGTTACAGATTTTGTTCTTGGAATGCCGTAGGGATAATGGCCTATTCCAGTTGCAACAGGCTGAGCAAGACTGTTCAGTTCGGCTTAGGACAGCAGAAGAAAATCTGACAGGGTGAGAGTCTATTTCAATAGAAATTTGCCAGTCAGGGTCTGCTGAGAATTGCTGTTCTTCAGTACATGAACATTATGGCGACTGCAAATTGGCTGAATTTGGCATTTGCTGATCTCTGAGCTTATCTTTTCAGTCTTAAGATGCTCAATGCTGAATTTTCCTGAACCTGGATGACATGAGCAATGGTGCATCAATTGGGAAAATATGGTGAGATCAGAAAAATTGGATTTTTGACATTGAGGAGAAAAGCTAGATTTCCACCCAAGGTTGACTGGTGAGACAGAAATCTTGCTAGTGAGCAGTAAGAGCCTATTTGCAAGCAGTTATGTATTGTTACCTATTCTTGCCTCATTTATGTGCATTTTGCACTTGCCTAGATGGATGCAGCTCCAACAACACTCAAGAAGCTTAGCACCATCCAGGACAAAGCAGCCCACTTGATAGGCATCACATCCACGAGCATCCATTCCCTCCATCACTAGCACTCAGTAATAGTTTTCTACAAGATACACTGCAGAAGTTCACTAAAGATCCTTAGACAACACCTTCCAAACCCACAGCCACTTCCAACTAGAAGGACAGGGGTAGCAGAGACACGGGAACACCACTACCTGTTCCCCTCCAAGCCACTCAAGATTCTGACTTGGAAATATATCACCCTTCCTTCACTGTCACTGGGTCAAAATCCTGGAATTCCATCCGCAAAGGCATTGTGGGTCAACCTACGACACATGTACTGCATCGATTTAGAAAGGCAGCTCACCACCACCTTCTCAAGAGCTAGTAGGAACAGCCAATAAATGCTGGCCCAGCCAGTGATGCGCACGTCTCACACGAGAATAATGAAAAGGTTTGCCATTCTCCCGTGTGGTGTGAAGAAATCAGATGGCGACAGGTCCCAATATGAAAGTCAGAGAGGTACCTCATGGTTCCAGCTCGACACTCGCTCCTCTGGGCCTTCGTCTTTGCCAGCAGTCTCAAGCACCTCATGCTTCTTAAGTAGCAAACACCTGCAATCATCCTTCATGGAAGTTGGCATCAGACACTCACCAGTCTCACTGCATCATTGTGGTATATCTCCGACTCATCTGCAATACAGTTATCCACTTCATTGCTTCCCCTTTGGAGCACACTTGCATTGTAATGCTGTTGCTAGGCTTTTTGCATTCAGTAACAGGTAACAATTTCACGGATTAAAGCAGGCGGCACTGGAGAGTTCTTCGTTTGCTGGCTTCATGCTCACACTGTGCCTATGTGGAGGCTCGCATCATTCCACCTTGCCTTGTTTTGCCTTTTTTTTGCATTGTCTATCATTCAGAACTTACAAGCTCACCATATATCTGTCTTGCCCTGCCCCTTAGAGCAAACATGAGCCAGACAGTGTGTCCTGTCAGCCATCAGTGATCAGTCAGTGTGGGTGGACATGTTCCTTTAGAGGTCCATGCTACAATGCTACACCTTCAGCATTTGCTGGCTGCTTATATGGCAAACTCACTGAATGTGCTTCTTAAAGATGACCATGTCCGAAAGACCAAAAGGATTAGTCAAGTCAAAGAGTCTGCCATCAGTCCGGAGGTACTGGCACAATAAGCTAAGCATGTTGTCTGATATTAGTCCAGGTGCTTGGACGTGGTCAGTCAGACACTTGGGACAGTCAGGGTGAGAGGTTTTGTATTAGTATAACCTAAGAAATGGACCACAGTAGTCTTGAACAATGACAAAATGTTACAATATTCTGGGTGTTAAGAAATGAATAGTACTCCCTTAGACAATGTTCAAGCATGGTCTGGTGCCAAGAACGAACAGTCTATATATCTTGAATTCATGTAGCTGATGTTACATTGACAACATGACAGATGTAGAGTGGCATTACATTGACACGTTCGAGCTTCTATTTCCAATGAAGTATTAACTATGCCACCTATGTGCCCTCAGAAGCTTATCTTTCTTGTCTTCCTCCCATGTTACACTAATGGGCTATTTGTGCCTGACAGCAGTTTATCTGGTCCACAACTGAGCTTGAAATATGGCACCAGCAGTGGAAGTCTCAGCAGTGGAAGTGTCTCTGCCGCTGGTGATCACAATGTAATGTGATAGTGGCAGCAAAAGAGGTGTGAGTGAGTACATAATGAGGTGAGCAGCGGAGAATTGCTTGCAATAATTTGTTAGAGCTCATGGAGAGAAAGAAACTTCATGAAGCACCCCAAAATTGACAAAGTTGATTTTTGGTAAAATTTTGCCTTATTTGGAAAATCACAGATGTTAAATTCTGAGCTTACAGTTGGTCCCCTGACCTATTCTGAAAGTTGGTGTTCAGTCAGAAAACCCTATGTTCTTCGAAAATTCTGTTGTGCTGCTGAGCTCTCCTTAAATAGTTCACTTGCAGACAGCTTTCAAGTGAAGCAGTTGTTTTGTGTTTATCCATAAATAACCACAAAAACCCCCAAACCACATTTCTCGGAACAGAAAATTTCCCAGGGAAAATACCCAATCTTTCTTAATGATTACCTTCTGCATGTAGTTTAATGTCTATAATGAATGGTCAGACTTTTACTTGACCCTTGGGGAATACTTGTATGGGACTAAAGTCTTTGTCTGCAAGCAGGACAGATAGGTAAGCAAGTTTTTCAGTGTCTGCTGTATAAGGACCAGTGATTTACCTTCTTTGAGTAATATCTACTTTAGAAAGATAAGCCCTTTTCTACAGTTAATCTCTATCACTTCTAAATTCTGTTTTACTGTCTCAGTGACTTTTCATCTATAAAACTTCTGTAAACATTTATTTCACTTTGCCATTTTTGTTTTTATCCTCAATGAATTCATTCTCATTTGTAACTGACGCATTAGTCATAGAGTTGTACAACATGGAAACAAACTCATCCAGATATCCTAAATTAATCTAGTCCCATTTAAGTCTTCTTTTTAGCTTTTTTTTAAATTTTAATTTATAATATCTGTTAAACTTGTGTCTAATTTCTCTTTACTCCTTTTAATTTTGATTCATCTATTTATAGATTTAGTATGTTTAGCCCTAACTTTATCAGATGTATATCTTGTTTCTTCTTATTCACCTCAATTTTTTCTACTATATTCATCTCATTATTTCTTCATTTTTAAATATATTTGGTCCTTTTAAATCAATTTTAGGGTCCATGTATATTTGTTTAACAGCTTTATCAATTATCCTGTTCATTTTCAAACATTTGTGTACCAAAAGTCAAAACCTTTCTTTTCTTCGACTCCAATTTTAGCACTTTTTCTTTCCACTCATTCATGGGATGAGGGCATCACTGGCTGGCCAGCATTTATTGCCCATCCCTAGTTGTCTTTGAGAAGGTGATGATGAGTTGCCTTCTTGAACTACTGCAGTCCATGTGAAGTAGGTAGAGGTACATTTATGTTAGATATTTCTTTCAGTAAATATAATCTGACGTCTTTTTCCATTGAATTTAATCTGATATCTATCCTGATCAACCAACCTATTTTTTCCACCTGAATTTGAATTTGTTTACTGTGATCTTTAAAGTTAGTCTTACTGTATAGTTAGTAAAGCGTTCAACAAGGTTCCGCATGGTAGACTAATTGGGAAAGTTAGGTGACACGGGATTCAGGGTGAGCTTGCCAACTGGATATATAATTGGCTTGACAGCACGAGACAAAGAGTGGTGGTGGAGGGTTGCTTTTTGGACTGGAGGCCTGTCACCAGTGATGTTCTGCGGGGATCAGTTCTGGGTCGTCTTTTGTTTGTTATTTATATAAATGATTAATATGAGAATATAAAAGGCATGGTGAGTAAGTTGCAGATGACACCAAAGTTGGTGGCGTGGTAGTCTGTGAGGAAGGTTTTCTAAGATTACAAAGGGATCTTGATCAAATGGGTCAATGGGCTGTAAAATGGCAGATGGAGTTCAATCTAGATAAATACAAGGTATTGCTTTTTGATACAACAAACAAAGGTAGGGTTTATACAATTAATGGTAGGGCCTTGGCTAGTGCTGTAGAACAGAGGGACCTGGGATGCAGGTACACAATTCTTTGAGATTTGTGTCACATATAGACAGGATGGTTAAAAAGGTGGTTTGGCACACTTGCCTTCATTGTTCATTCCTTTGAGTATAGAAGTTGGGAAGTCACGTTGAGGTTGCACAGGACATTGGTGAGATCTCTTCTGGAATACTGTGTTCTTAGAGAATGTTCAGAAGAGATTTAACAGGATGTTGCGGGTATAGAAAGTTTGAGTTATAAAGAAAGGCTGGATAGGCTGGGACTCGTTTCACTGGAGCGTGGGAACTTGAGAGGTGACTTGATAGAGGTATATAAAATAGTGAGAGGTAGATAGATAGATAAAGTTGATGGCAGTTGTCTTTTCCCTAGGATGGGGGATTTCAAGACTATGGGTCACATTTTTAAGGAGAGAGGAGAAAGATTAAAAAAAAGCATGGGGGCAAATTTTTTTACACAGAGGGTGGTTTGTGTGTGGAATGAACTTCCTGAGGAAGTAGTGGATGTGGGCACAATTATAACGTTTAAAAGACATTTAGATAGGTACATGAATAGGAAAGGTTGGGAGGGATTTGGGCCAGGAGCAAGCAGGGGGTGGGCCTAGTTTAGTTTGGGATTATGTTCGGCATGGACTGATTGCACCAAAGGCTCTGTTTCTGTGCCCTCTGACTCTAGGACTTGAAGAGAGGTAGAAAACAAAATGTTCTAGCGCTGACATCTGGGGAACTACCCAAAGTATAGTACTTAGGTCTGTGAAACCGTCTATTAACTAATTGTCTACATTCTCGGTCTTTCAACCAACTTTCATTATTGTTTTAACATTTATTTTATGTGACTCATTTTTATCAATGATTATCCTACATCTCATCAAATTCTTTTAAAAACACCTACTGGTAATACCCCACCCAATAAACTTAATTTTTGGTTCAAATTTACAACATGCCTTTTAATTATTCTTAGATAACAAGGTGTAGAGCTGGATGAACACAGCAGGCCAA